AATAACCAACAATAATTAAAAAGAATCTGCTTTTCAAGGGTATTGTTTTACTCGGCCTCTATATCCAACCGGATGTATGCAGCCTTTTTAAATTATTAACTTAGCCTCTCAAATAATCCTTTTTAATTTAGGAACTTAGCACCTCAAACAATCCAATCTGAGATTCGTTCATATAGAGAATTGATCTCAAAACTTTGGGGATACTTACATCACTGCAACCACTAGGCTTGCCGTCTGCTTGATCTCACTGTTTCATAGGAAGAAAAAGCTAAGAACATGTACTTACTCTTAAGTTCGGTTAATTATTCATCTCAACAAAAAGTTCGGTTAATTATATATTTTTAAAGACTATGGAATAGGACAACTGTGGCCTCTACATCTAAGGATGAGTTTGGATGTTGCTACTCTATTGTTTACCATGAGCACGATTTTTTAAATTGTTAAAAGTTACGTCCTTTTGCAAATACTTATCATAGATTTCTTTTAAAATTATATAAATTTATTTTTCAAACTTATAATTATTAATATACTAATGAATTGTTCTGTTTTACATGTCACTAAAAATCAAACTTCACTTTTAAACTCAAACTAAGATGTACATTGATGTTAAAACGAACCAAATCAGTTAAACACAAAAACTCCAATGCACATCAGACTTAGGTTGAGTTCTAAACAGCTATTCAACATAGCTATTTTCTCGTTCTCGTTAAACATGCTTCTTAAACTGTTAAACGATATGTTTTATGTAAAAGATATCAATATAAAAGTTCTTTTAAAGAATTAAATAAATTTAATTTTTACTTAGTATTTAAAAAATCACATGCTAATATTTATTTTGTTTCGCGTGCCAAAAGATACATGCCAAACCTTTGGTTCGAACAAATCCTTATATCAGCTGTCTACGTATCTAAAGATGCGTGTAAACAATATAACAGGATATATACTCTATAATATAAAAGGCAATTACCAGGTCAATAAACATAAAAATGTTGTGCTAATGCACGTTTAAGCTCGCTGGGCGGTCAAAGTCGATAAGAAGGGTTTATCGAAGAGTTAGTTAAGTAGTAATGAATTGTTGGGGTGTTTCGGTTGGGTGGTCGGGTCGCACGGTTGATGGATGAGGTTTGCCCACGACCGGCAATGATAAAACTGCTCCGGAAAACAACACCTAACCAACAAAATATCTGACGCCGACGATTCGACTTAGACCAGACTTTTTCCTGGAGTATATTACTTCACTTTGCTTCTGCACGCAAATTAGGACAAAATATATGCAACCAACCGTGCAACCTGCCTGCCCGCCCTCCCTGCGTCACGGCGTCACCTCACCAACGGAACAAACCGACACACAAGAGCCATACAAATACTCTACTTATTATAGTACTTACAGTACGATGGTTGGCAGCTACTATATTGTACGCTGTACCCGTATGTGCAGGCACAAACGGATATAATTCAGGCTGTGCCGTATACTACTAGCTAGTGTAACTACTGTTGCAGGAAATGGACCTGGTCAATACAGAAAAAATCAGTGAATCTTGGTCAAGGCTGCCTTTTTCTGGTATTTTCGCTTCTCGTTTGCTCGTTGGTTTATTAGTCGTGACCAAAATTTTAATTTTGAAACCTAATTTTATTTTATTCTAGTTTTTTTTATCGTGTTCTATTTCCAATATTGATTCTAAAACAAAATATTGTAAATTCTATATTTATAATATTTTATTTTAGAATTTATTTTTCATATTTCTATGGCTTATGCAACGTCCGTATATAAATTCTATGTTTTTCTACCATCAAATGATCGGTTCTATACCAGTGTGATTTCTACATAATGCCACACATAAAAGTTTCTCTCTGTTTTTATCATCACAGTACAAAGAGCCAATTTTACTATTGTATAGCAGTACCAACATAGGAATAATTTGGTGCCGGTGCCAGCCCCGAGCGACTAATAGCAATTTCCAGTGGCCCACCTTCATTTTCTCAGGCATGGGCAACAGTTGGCGGTTGAGACGCAATGGAAAAACCTAGACGGCTGATCGACTTACTTGGATCCGCCGCTAGAGTATTTAATAGATTAACGGGGTAAATTAAGGATTGACTTGTGGCGATGCCAAAAGAAGGGATTTGTTTGTGGAATGTCATTTCATAGAACTCAGGTTTATAAAAAAATAAATTATATGAATTGATAACTAATTAATGGTATTTATTTTCTTAAAAAATTGAGGTTTACAACAAAAGGTATACTTTAATTTCAAGCATGTCGTCTTTACTTTTTTTTTAACTTGTCTTCGTGGTTAGCGTGGCAAGAACAACCAAGCCAAGAGCCAACCCAAGGAGTTAGCTACAAATTATTATGGTCCTACAAGAGCAGGGGACCTGAGAAAGTGATTAGTGCGAGTACGTGGCCACTTAATAATTAAGGTAGTCCGGCTGGCTGGCAGGATGCGGCGTGCACGCGGTTTGCATAGCATATCAACTAGCCCTACCGTGCATATATAATACCCTACCAAACAAACTACACGACGACGACGACGACGACGACGACGACGACTATATACAAACATATATAGTTTGTTTCGCTGCTTTAACACGAGGGGGCTGTGCTTTCATTCTGTTTCAGCTTCCATCTTTCCGGGGGGACGCCAATAATGGACTCCAGATTCCAGTTTGTGATGCACTTGATGCCTACCAGGAGGCAGCCTCCCTTTCTTCTCACATGCTCTATCCGTTTTAAAATGTTTGACGCCGTTAGCTTTTTAAAGTACGTGTTTGACTATTCGTCTTATTTAAAAAATTTAAGTAATTATTTTTTTTTCATATCATTTAATTTATTGTTAAATATACTTTCATGTACACATATAGTTTTACATATTTCATAACTTTTTTTTAATAAGACGAACGGTCAAACATGTGCTAAAAAGTTAACGGTGTCAAACATTTTGAAATGGAGCGAGTATATATAGATATATAGAACTGCATACTGGAGTACTACTAGTTGTGTTTGTTACGTGGAGTAGCTTTTGAGCCTCTCTTCGATCGATTGAGGTCGATTTTTTTTATGTTAACTCACAAGATAGTGCCAATTTCACTGAATAGAACAGGAGAAAAAACTGTACAGTGTTTACGAAATATTTAAAAAAAGGAGAAAAGCCACCGTTTAAGGTTTCACCTTCATATATACTTCTTGTAAGCCATCGTTCGGTGTTGTAACCTCACCCCGATATAGTGAAGATATATTACTGGCTGGCGCCCGTAATTTTCTCTCTCCTATTTTGGGAAATAATGGTTTCTATGAAAAATAACAGTAGGATTTTTGAACCAGAGTACCTCAAATTTAATGGATGAAAAAATATAGGAAAGAAACAGAAAGGAAAAAAAATGTGTGAGCCGAGTGCTACGTAAACGACTCTTGAAATGGAGCATAAGAAAACAAAGAAAACAGAAGAGAAATGGTTACATAGAATTTTTTTTAAGAGGTTCGAGCTCATGTTGGAAATCATCCGTAATCTCTATAATTTTTAAAAATACTAGATTTTTGAATGGTTATTCTATCGCTCCAAATGAACGTGTAGGAAAATATTTCATAGGATTTGAACCCTACAATATATAGTTGGTTTCTCTTAGGAGCTTCAAATATAATTGTGAATACGGGTAAGCTTATTGCATTTTATTGTTGGTTTCTCTTTAGTTGTATGAATGGTTAATAAAATTGAAAACCAATCATTTTGGCTGCTTTTCGGCTCCGATGGCCTCGTCCGGGGGGGGGGGGGGGGGGGGAGGTAGTCGGGTCTCTCCCGTTCTCGGGTTCACCCCGTTCTTTGTGTAGCTCAAGAGGATAGTTGGCGCTCAACTCTTCTTGTCTCAGCTTGACGGACATGGTGGACCGCATCGGCGTTCATGCTAACGCCGTCTTCCTATCCGATGATTACTAATATTTTATAGGATTTGAACCCTACAATAGTTTTCCAAAATTTTGTTTTTTTCTCTCTTAGGAGCTCTAAATCTAATTGTGAATACGGGTGAGCTTACTACTTTTCGTAGTTAGTTTCTCTTTAGTTCTATGCACGGTTAAGAAAACTGATAAGATTGAAAACCAATCGTTTTGTCTAGTTTTCGCTCCGATGGCCTCCCAGTCATGGTGGGAGGGGGGGTTCGGATGCTAGAGATAGGTTTATGTTTAGTCGGGTCTCTCCTGTTCTCGGATTCATCCCATTCTTTGTATAGCTTAAGAGAGTCGTTGGCGCTCAACTCTTCTTTTCTCAGCTTGACGGACATGGTGGACCTCATTAGCGTTCTTGCTAACATTGTCTTCTTGTCCGATGAATACTGTCTTCACCTCCAACGCGTTCAGTTGGGAGTTTTGTCGTTTTGCATTTGGTTGAGGCCTTGTCCTGTAGTTGCGCCGGCTGTTTGCTCCATCTCCGGCGAGTCATCGATCCGCATTTACAGTGGCCGTCTGCTTTGTCTCCGACGGAGAGGTTCTTGGCTCTACCCATTGCAGCTAACCAAGATTAATAAAACATGAATTAAAAAAAAAGCTGATTTTCGAGTTATTGAATTTTATCGGTTTTCGCCTGGCTTTCAGTAAACCGGTGGCCGATTGTAGCGCGGTTTTCAATTATAAAATTGGAAGATAAACCCTGGATGAAATGGCTCAATTTTTTTTGTTACCATGAAGAGTTCGCAACTGATCTTGTCTCTCCAGTAAAAGAAGAGGTAGGAAGGTTGAGGAGAGGAAGTGCACAACAGGCAGGCAGTTAGCTGTCGCTCGCCCATCCTCCACTCGGATCCCCACCCCACGTAGGAGTAGGACTACTACTCCTGCCGCTGCCAGTCCACCATACTAATTCCGTTTCGTCCTTGCTTCTTGTCCCCATTCGACAATCCTTAGGAGTACTAACTGCCACTCATCACTTGAAAAGAAAAACCAACACCAAACAAAAATCCACATCCACCCAAGACTACCACACACAAGTTTGGCGAGAATTCAAAGATGCATCTCACAGACAACACAAGAGCTAGCAATTCTCTTCACTGATGCATTCTGAATTTTCACTGATCAGCTCTCTTTTTTCTTTTTCCTCTTATAAGTATATACAAAAAGAACTTTGAACTAGCTAGCTAAGCTAAGCTAGTGGGTGGTGCCACGGTGGTGGTGCTGATTGTGGCACAGCAGCACACACTCTGCTTATTTTGGTTTGGTATTAGTTCCTCCAGACAGGCAGACACAGCTCCTTGTTGTTGCTTCATCTCCTCTCTCTCTGGAGAACTCTACTAGTGACAACTTCAACTTGGATTGGAGGAGTAAAAATTGAAGAGAAAAAAAAATTAAAACTAGACAAGGAATTATTGGGGAAGAAGAAGACTATAGCAGAATAGAAAAGGAGGATCCAAACGTTGATGGTCGTCGTCTCTTCACTTGCCGCGCCGGCGCCTCTGCTTCTTGCTCTGCTTTCTTGCTTGCAGTGCATCAATCTGAGCTTGATTACTCGATCATTCCGTATGCTGCTGCGGCTGGTTGATTACTCGATCTTGGCCATGCCCATGATGCGGCTGGCGGCGCGCACGCCGTTGTCGGGCGACGACCGAGGATCCACGGCGGCGGAGCCGGACATGTAATTCCGGACCTCGATCCGGATCATCTCCTGCATCATGGCCAAGAACTCCGCGCTGAACGGCGCCGATGGGCGCGGCGGCGGTGGGGGCTGCAGCTGGAACGGCATCTGAGGCGGCTCTTGGCGTACACAAGATGGTGTTGGTGGCGGCATCTGAGACGGTGGAGGCGGCTGCAACTGTACCGCAGGCTCCGACGGGGTGGAGGGATCGGGGTGTGGGTGATCCAGGCCGGGAAGGGAGAGAGAGAGGGAGAGCGAGGTCGCCGGAGGCGGCGGGGGAGGAGGAGGAGGGACGACGACCCCGCCGGCCCTCGCGACCGGGCGGTAGACGTGCTGAGGGAGGAGGAGGTGTGGGGGTGAGGAGGGCATCTGGGAGGGGAGGCTATGGTGGCTGGAGTCGCTGAGGTCGGAGCCGGAGGGGCTCCCGGGGGCGGCGGCGGAGGAGAGCGTCGGGTGGCCGTCGCTGGTTGTCCGCTTGAGAGGGCGGAGGTCGTCGGCGAGGAGAGAAGAGTGGTGCTTGCGCTTGAGGGTGGAGTTCCAGTGGTTCTTGATGGCGTTGTCGGTGCGGCCGGCGAGGAGCCTGGCGATGGTGGCCCACTTGTTGCCGAAGCGGGCGTGGGCGCGGAGGATGGTGTCGTCCTCCTCGGGAGTGAAGGGCCGGTGCTCCACCTGCGGCGACAGCTGGTTGCACCACCGCAGCCGGCACGACTTCCCCGACCTCCCCGGGATGGACTTGCTTATCAGCGACCAGTTGCGCGCCCCGTGCCGCCCCACCAGCCGCTGCAGCGCCTCGTCCTCCTCCGGACTCCACGGCCCCTTTATCCTATCCACATCCCCTCCCCCTCCTCTCCGACAAGACGCCATCATCCTCCCTCACCGATCAATCTCCTCTCCTCTTCTCTATGTGTACTAGTATCTCCTCTCTACAAGTGCTATCTTATATGCTATGCTAGTGTGAATGCGTGAATGGAGGCGGAGCTAAATTAAGTCAGGGGAGAGGAGGGGGAGAAGAAGGGGCCTCTATATAAAGGAAGGAAGGATGACAAGAAGGCCTTTCCTTTGGTTTGTTGTGCTGTTCGATCCATCTCTTCTTTGTTCAGTTAAGATTGGAAGTGGGGTTGAGTTGGGTACAGCTGGCGAGGGGGACACGCGGCACCAGATGCAGCGCCCGTTTAAACTTCTTTCCTCACGTTGCGTTTTGCTGAAATGACCAGGGTGCCCTCCACCCTCTCTTCCTTCCCGGGCTGGGGTGTGGGTTGTGTCAGTGTTGGTTGGTCGGTCGGTTGGGCCGTCTCGTGGTTTCAGTTTGCTCCGCTCAGCCAGCGGGTAGGGAACCCAACTCACCGCTCAACACTCAACCGTGTTTTTGCTCTCGCCTTTCGCTTTCTACAAGTTATATGCTCTACAAATATATACTAGCAAATATATTATTTTTCTCAAAAAGACGAGAAATTGAGAAAAATTCACCTTGTCACGTCGAATGTTTAGCTCTGGTACATACAATCTTGTTCAATTGTGGATATTAATTTTGTGTCTTTTTCGACTACATTGTAAATAAATCTAGTTGCATGCATTTGATTCTAAATAAGCCATTCCATGCTTGCTATGTAATCCTCCTATGTAAAAATACATCATGCTTCACGAAAGCATGAATCTTAAAAATATCATCACAACAAATAATGTATGACCCATAGCATAATCCCTTCTATCACAATAAACCTGGCATGTCGATCAGCACTTCTTTTCCCATTCATGACAATGCTAAGGTTGTGTTCTTCTCTCAACATTCCCAATCTTTCCTCTCTCGTTTTTCCGCGCTCACACTTTCCAAACTATTTAACGGTGTGCTTTTTTTTTAAAAAAAAAGAAATTCTATAGCCAAATTGCTTTAAAAAATTATATTAATCTCCATTCTTAAGTTTTTTAGATAATACTTTATTAATTATGCACTAATCATTTGCTTGGTTGCCTCTGAACTCATCCTAACTCTTTGTTGGTAAAGAGGATAATATATATATAGTCTATGACAACATTGTTTCCAAGTTTTCAATAACTATCGGTGTTAACTAGGAGTACTACTTTGATCGTACATTACTTCTGAATGATTATATTATAATGAACTACAATTGAATGGTTATACTTATTAATATGCCATAATATAATATATTTTCAAGTATTTATAAATCGTTAATAGAAAAATAAGACGAGTGATCAAAATTCTCTCTTTTGTCTGTCAATTTCCCAAATTCTCCCACACCTTACCAATTCGAGCCGACTTGAATTGCTCGAAATTGACGAATATATCATCTGTGCTCGGCTCTACTGAGAAGCTTTAGGAATTGTGATATTGATGGAATAATCCAAGCTTAGCCTTTGTTATTAGAGGAGATTAAAAAGACTAAAGGAGAGTACGTGTAAGTGCGTATATATATTTCGTGATGGATCGATCGTTCCCAAGGCAAGGCAGCTACGGGCCACCTTCCGGTTGTTTCCTAGTCACCACTGCCTGCCTCTACGACGACTCTCCTCCATTTCGTGCTCTGCTTGCCTAATTTCTTCCCTTAGTTGTTACTCGTTATTCGTTGGAGAAGTGTCTACAAATATATATATATATATATGTACCCATCCATTCTCAACTGCATCCGCGTGTGTCACTGTGTGTGCGTGCATAATCATCTGTATATATATATATATATATGATAAATTGATAATTTGCTCCATTGCCAACCGATGAATCGATCGATCGAGACAGCATAACACCGTTGGATCGTTTTCTTCTCTTCACTTTTTGTTGCTAGCTACTACTAGTTAGCTATAGCTAGCTTGCACTTTCAAATTGATCCATTGCATTGGTAGCTCATGGGTCTCGCTCTGCCGCGCGCTTCCGTTGGAGTGTATCAAATATTTGAGTGTTTAACTAACGCATCCACTCATTTGGTGCCGTCGTCATCTGATCTCTTACATTCTGCCTACCCATGTTAGTTTAAAGATAGCTACACATTAATGTCTGTCTATGTATACCTGTTAACCGACCTTGGTTTAATTAATTATCTGATGATCTAGATTTTGAGCTAGGTTGTTATTCCCTAATATGTCTATACTCTATAATTTGTGTGAATTCATATTATACTAGCCAATGGTGTCGCGCATTTGCGTGACTATGGCCTCGTCTCTACCATTTCTTGATTTATGAGGGGCGACCAATATTATGATGATGATAATAAATAATTAAGACTGAATTTCATAAAACTATAATTATTTGGTGTATCACTTTATTACAATTTTAGGTTGGTGTTTCACAAAACTGCATCTGCAGCAAACAATTTTTTTATTCAAAAACAATTGTATCCCGTGTATGACATATATATGGGTCCAACTTGGGTACGAGCATTCATATAAGTATGGCAGGTGGATCCAAAATTGTTAGACAAACAAAGTTGCAACATTCTGAAATGATGAGCTAAATTTGCTAAAATTTACAAAATAAATGTGGCTTTCTAAAATTTATTAGATAATTAACCCTTGCATGCTCAACTTCTAAACTTTATTAGAAATCTTATATTCATATATTAAACAAAAATTATCTTAAATATTAGAAATATTGAAAAACTTAGATTTAATTTCATTTTTAACACACACAATTTTAGGTAACTTCAAATTTACAGTGTTTTGAATGACTCAATTGATCAAATAACTAAGTAGATTTGGAATTTTTTTTAGACAAAATAGATTTGGAATTTGTGACAAATTAGATATATTGGACTGTCCTCCTGCGAGAGCCTCGCACATTCAACGTTCCAAGACAAAGCATATTTGGAGTCTGCATAGTACCACGTAATATATATGTTCCAAAAATAAATATTTCTTGAATTCAAATCTTGTTTCACAATATATATATATATGTATTTCTACCATAATTCACACTACTACTTGTCTCATCAACCATTTTTTATTTCTTTTTTTCCCATCCTGCCTCTAACCACCCTCCAACCCTGACTATTCTAGCTTCATTGAAAAATTCTTTCAATCATTTTCATTTAGTATTGAAATCCCTTTTTCTGAATCCTAACCGTTAAACAATCTAAAAATACTTATATTTTGGAACTAGTGGAGGTTTGATTTCGTTTGGCCTCACTTGTTTCCTAGATGTGCGGTAGGCTGTGGCGTAAGTTGTTAGTCGAGATTAGATGTTGGAGAGTTCGGTTTTATGGTATCTCAAGATGGTGACGTAGGTAGTGAGAGGAATATATATTAGAGCTTTTTTTAAGTAATTTCCACCAGTGGTACACAAACTCGAGATGTGGGTTCAATCAAGTACATGAATATGTAAAACTTCCTTTACAGTGTAAAAATTTGTGTAGTGTGTGCGAACAAAGGCGAAAACGGTAGGTGGGAGCTGATTAGGATGCCACACGCGCACACTGGCAAGAGCATTACACATGTTATGTTTTTAAATAACTAGATGTACTGGATTTCTCTTTTATCTTTTATATATTTCTGTCCCTATATATTTCTATTAATAAACATATTTCTAACTTATATGCTGATTAGGATGTTACATATATGCATACATGCCCTGCATATTTCTTTTTATAAACATGTTTCTGATTTGAATATTAATTGATTAGGATGCTACGTTTGATACATTATTGTTGAACCATCCATAAAGTACTTTTACTGTGCATAGAAATATGTCTATAAAATAAAATATGTAGGAATAGAAGTGTACAAAAGATAAACATAAATCCAATACATAGAGTTATTTTCAAATATAATGTGCCTAATGCCCTATCAGCGTACGTGTGGCATCCTACTCAATGTCGTATCATTTTGGTTTTTGTTTGCACGCACTATGCAAGTTCGTACACTAGAATGGTTATTTTACAAGTTTATGCAGTAGATTGTATCCGTTTCTCATGTTTATGTAGCACCAGTGTAATTTACTCTTCTTTTTAACTCGCTTCTTTTCATCTTTTTCTTTTTGCCATGGCGGAGGATCTTGCAACCTGCAAGACGAGGTGCAAGTAATTCTTTTTATCACTTTTCTTTGGTTTTGTTTGACTCCTAATCGATTTGTTCCCCTCTCGATATAGGTTGTTTGGAGATCAAGGAGGCTTCAACTCGAACAATCCAGAAGGCGATTAGTTGACTGTGAGTCTACAATTGTCTATGTATCAACGGTTGGTATTGCCTCCTTTTTTTTTTTATCCAATGGTCTCAATTAAATTGATTACGTGGCCCAATGACAGAGGGTGAAAACTTTCTGTTTTCACTACTTTATAGATAGATTGTTTTTGTTATCAAAGTTTCACGTTAAACCACTTTAACATTTTTTTTCGGACACCATTTTCTTTCACTTTGGATCTTTTTTCCTCAACACCTTTGCTATCTCTAGGTAGACAGAGCACATCAACAGAGATAAGAGGATCTTGACCAGTGTGCAGATCACAATGGCACCTCAGAGACTAAATTAATTAATTCGATGACAACAGAAGTAAAAAGGAGGTCTAAGAAACATAAGTAAATGGAGCCCTAACTAAAAGTATGTGTTAAACTGGTCCAAAGTAAAATTTTGACAAAAGGAGAGTCCAAACTGAAACTCACCTATAATTTTAAGGAATTTCTATTATTTGAGTGGTAGATTGGGATATTTAGGTATATAATCTTAAGTATAATAAATTCATCCACCTGTCGCTTGTCCAAGAGTAAGAGCGAGCATGGTATTATAAAAACCGGCATCAATAACGTGTCAAACACAGAAAAATAAAAATAGAAAATCTAAACATAATAACAATCACGATAATTGTTATTAAGGTTTAGTAAGCCTCGGTCCTGGGACTTTTTGCATATATAATTGATATGATAGATGATAATTTTTAAATGTTTATTAATTAAGTTCCCTACAAGAGTGGTGTACTGGTTGTTTATACGTGTGTTTAATAGATGTCATATCCATGTCTTCTTTTTTTGAGCGTCTCCGATAGACCCAGCGGTTGTGCAATAATCAAAAGTTTATTTTGATGGACATATGGAAAACAACCCCGTTGACAACTACATATATATGGTATAATTAATTAATTAAACTAGTAGAATATGAGTATATCGTTTATGGATGACATGGAGGTTTACATGGCACCAACCGCTTGTTTATATATGTACGTGCATATATATTGTTTTGTTGATTAAACAAAGAACACAAACAAATATTAGTTAGTAATTAAATTAATAATTAGGCTTGTTATCAGGCACGGGAGGGAGAGGAACAAGCGTAACGCGTTTTTGATATGGCGTTTAATTTGGTGGTAGCTAGTTAGTCACATATCAATCCACAACGGCGCCCCCCAATCAAGTCTCAGAATACAGAGTACAACGTTACTTGCTTCTTTTGTCGTTCAGTTCATCCTTAATTCCTCTTCATGGACCACGCCACACGGCCACCGGGTACTAGCATCAATGGAACGGAATCGACACTTCTGGAAAAGAGGTTTTTAGTCACGGTTTGTATCCTCTTTAGTCCTAGACTACAAACCGAGATTATGAATCTAGACTAAAGATGTTCATCTTTCGTCCTGGTTGGTAACACCAACCGGGAGTAAGGAAGATGATCTTTAGTCGTCTCGGTTGGTAAAAAAATATATCATTTTTCTTTTTATTTCCATTGTTTTTATGATGTTTGCACCTCGACTACAATCTCCGTCACATCCAAATCCCCACAAATCATACACAATCATCCACAATACATGCCCATCGACAATCCACAAATCAATCACAAAATCATCCTCAAATCAACAAAAAAAAAATCTAAAAATCATTCTTACAAATCAATTCACAAAAAATATACAAATCAACTCCACAGCCGCCGCCGGCCTCTTACCTTCCGTCGGCTACAGCCCGGCCGGCTCGCTCCGGCGCCCCCGCCTAGTCGCCTCCCCTCCCAGATCCGGCGGAGGAGAGGCCACCCCTACCCTCGTGCCCCTCACATCGCCCCTGCGCCACTGCCGCCCCCGTGCGGGCCGCCGCCGCCGCATGGCCGCCTCCCCTCTCGGATCCGGCGGAGGGGAGGCTGCTGCTGCCTTCGCGCCGCCCCACACCACTGCCACCGCAGGTTGCCGTCGTGCGAGGCCGCTGCCGCCGCCGGCCTCTTACCTTCCGTCGGCTACAGCCCGGCCGGCTCGCTCCGGCGCCCCCGCCTAGTCGCCTCCCCTCCCAGATCCGGCGGAGGAGAGGCCACCCCTACCCTCGTGCCCCTCACATCGCCCCTGCGCCACTGCCGCCCCCGTGCGGGCCGCCGCCGCCGCATGGCCGCCTCCCCTCTCGGATCCGGCGGAGGGGAGGCTGCTGCTGCCTTCGCGCCGCCCCACACCACTGCCACCGCAGGTTGCCGTCGTGCGAGGCCGCTGCCGCCGCCACCCGGCCGCCTGCCGCGCGGCTAGCTCGCTCCACCACTGTCGCATGCTGCCTAGGTGCCACCATCCCCCGGAAGGGAGCTGGAGGGGAGGGGAGGGGAGGAGGGGGATGAGAGGGGAGGGGGCTAGAGGAGAAGAGGGGAGGAGGAAATGGAGGAGAGGAGGAGAAATGAGATAAGGTGGAGAAGGGATCGAGGAAGGTGAGGAGCGTCAAAGGGATAATTATATCGCTTGGGGAGAGAAATAGGCGGCTGGGTAGCACGTAGCTGGGGGTCAATTTTTATTCCCGGTTGTTTAATAACTGGGGCTAAAAATATTAAAGATAGTGAAGGGGTCTGACACCGCCTGCCATGTTTTGAATCGGGACTAAAAATCATGATCACACCAACCGGGACTAAAGTTAAAAAAGTATCCCTGGCCTTTTGAACCCTGTCCTAGTTCCTACTCAAACCGGGACTAATATAGTTTTTGGCTAACCCAGCAAAGATGGTTTCTCCAGTAGTGCGATTAGTGATGTCATCAGCTCGCAAGCTGTTTGCTCATAATTGGAGTGTATATTTTTCTTAATCAAATTCAAAATCCTCTCTAGCGATTCTTTAGATAACCAATCAGGTGTAAAAAAAAGGGTAAATGTCGGAGGGACGACCTCCGGCAGACGTGAGAAACCGGCCACGAGTTCGTGATCAATCAGGGGTTTTTGGTGAACTTAGTGTGCCGAGAGTACTCGGGAACGAAAAACACGAAGAAAGTATACAGGTTGATCATGTCTCTTAAAGAATAACAACACTACTCCTGTGTAGATCACTACCGGTAAAAGTTCGTACAAAGTTTGTAGCTCTCGAGCTAGCTAGCCTAATTCTTGCCGAGGTCTGGAATTAATCCCCTAAACTGTGCTTCGGATGGGTTTTTATACCATTTAGCTTTCCTCTCTCCCGTTTTTTTGACAAATTGACCCTTTTGGAAAACTTATTTCGAAACTAACCCCTGCCAAAAACTTCAACCAAAAATAGGCCGTCGCCTCAGCGCCAAACACATTGGCGCTGACGTTGGCCGTATCAGCGCCAACGGGACTGGCGCTGACATTGTGCCACCGTGGCGGCCGGGCCGATCCCCAACTGACGTGGCAGCTACCTCAGCGCCAACCGGACTGGCGCTGAGGTGGGACTTGGCCGCAACCCCCAAGGCCCAGACCAGCAAGCCTTCTGGATGGCTTGCGGGCTGGGACCTCAGCGCCAGCCATAATGGCGCTGACCATGGGACACTCAGCGCCAGCCCACCTGGCGCTGAGGTGGGACTTGGCCGCAACCCCTAAGGCCCAGACCAGCAAGCCTGGTGGATGGCTTGCGGGCTGGGACCTCAGCGCCAGCCATAATGGCGCTGACCGTGGGATACTCAGCGCCAGCCCACCTGGCGCTAAGGTGGGACTTGGCCGCAACCCCCAAGGCCCAGACCAGCAAGCCTGCTGGATGGCTTGCGGGCTGGGACCTCAGCGCCAGCCATAATGGCGCTGACTGTTGGAAACTCAGCGCCAGCCCACCTGGCGCTGAGGTAGGACTTGGCCGTTTCGGCCGTGGCCCAGCCCAGCAAGCCTTCTGGATGGCTGGGCTGGGACCTCAGCGCCAGGTGCACTGGCGCTGAGTTTGGACATGTCAGCGCCATTTAGCATGGCGCTGACGTCCCAGCCCTGCTAAACTTTAGCAAAACTTTGCACACAACAGAGGCAAACATCAAATCACAGAAATTTACAGGCAGTAATATATCCAGAGAACCATACAAAACATACATCCATCCATCAATCCCAACATCATTCCATACATCCATAGAATCCATCAATACATCCATATATGAAGTCCATATATATAAGAAATAAAAACATCCCATCGATCCTCGTCTATACATCCAGTCGAGTCCATACATCCAGTCCATACATCCATCGAACCATGCATCAAGTCCATCCATCTATCCATCCATCCATTGAACCATGCACTCACCTCCTCCTACCTCTAGTGCGAGGACGAGGCACGTCGGGGGTGTACCTCCAGTCCTGCAAAGGAGCCCGCCGGCGTCGTGGTCGAGACGGGCCGGGCTGCGAGATATCCGGCTGTGACGACTCTGGTGCGTCCTCTAGCTGCGAGGGACCGAGCTCATCCGCCTCCTCTTGTCTGTCCTCATCCCCTTCTTCCTCCTCATCTCCTTCCTCCGCCTCTTTGTCTTGCTCGCCCTCCTCGTCACCCACCTCCCCTTCTTCATCCCCCTCTTGGTGGGCATGAGCATGTTCGACCACATCAGTCGACCTGCAGCCGAGCCTTGCTGCCAACTTCCGACATCGCTGCCGTAGTCTCTGCATAAAAAATAATCCATGTTAAGTTATCGCTTTTGGAAGAAAACACCGTAGTTTCATCTCTTTCCAACGATTACCTGTAGGGCGTTGCGGAGGGTGCCGCCCTCTCCTTCGGAGCCAGGAGCCGTGCCTAGCGCCACTCCCGCGTCGTTGACGGTCCGCAAGAGCTCTCGAGCCTGTAGGATTGAAATGAAGTAAGTCACAACATATATGGCATTGAAATGAAATAATATACAACATTAATGCTAGAAACTAACCACTCTGTCGCGAACAGGTCCCGTCTCGACCGTGGTACCTAGACGGGTACGAGTATCGTACTCGTTCTGCTCCTCAACATCCTCGGGGTCATCCGCTATGTCGGCTAGTGTCCAAGCCGGACGTAGGACAAGACGGTAGGTCCTGTGGAGCCACGCCAAGTACAAGTCGAACTCCGTCCCGTTGTGCTGACCCTGGTCTGGTACTCCATTCTCCTCGAACTTCTCCCATTGCGTGATATGATCCTGATGGTAGTAAGCCCAATCAGTCACCTTCTTGTTCTTCCGACGGTCCACCCTGCACGTATGCAAAATGTCCAACTCAAATATGTAGTAAATGTTGAAGTGACTGATTGGGCAAGCAAAATAAATTGTTTTCAGATCATCCATCGATCGAAACTCCAACCCCTTCCTTGGTTCATCACACATTGGTTCGAAGGCACCGTCATATTGTGGATCCCCATCAGCAATTGCTAGCCCAGATCTGGTAAGATCCTCGAATTGTGTTATTTCCGGGTTTCTACCCACCAGTTTCGCAAACACAGTCCTTTCATGCTCTGACATCTTACGCACTGGACGATCATCATCGGAGTCGGAAGCGGACTCATCCAATTCATCCTCTGTATCATACTCCAACCAGCCTGGGTTCAATCCACTGCGTATCATAGCCTCCTCACACTCCTCTCGGGTATAGAATTTCAGCCTAGCCAACTCCCTTAGGCCCATACTTACATTCTTACCATTCGCTTCTTCCTCAGGCAACTCCACATCATCTCCTACCTCCCGACCATCCTCAACATCTCCTTCCTCTCTTACCGGCACATTCTCCTCCACATTAACTTCCTCCCTTAACGGCACATTGTCCTCTGCATGTACTTCTTCCCTTAACGGCACATTCTCCTCTGCATGTACTTCCTCCCTTACCGGGTCATTCTCTTCCCTGACCTCCACATCCGCCATATCATTTACTCCCTCGCCCCCCTCCACGTCTTCCTCAATCAATTCTTCCTTCCTACTACACCTCTCCGACAGTTCGTGACAGCTAATGGGTGATTCTATAAGTTCTTTCTTCCCTATCCTACCATCTTTCTTCCATGCAAACACCTCAAGAGATTTGAAATGTGACCCCAATACTATATCTATATATGTTTGCCATTCGATCTCTCCATTCAAGTCTAACATAAATTTATGTGACATGACACCGCCGGCCACATCGTATCTCCCTTGCATACCAACCGACTCATCATTCCAATCCAATTCATGCTTGATGCGAGACATTAACTCCTCAAAGGTAGGCTTCGCAAAAAACACTAATTGTCTAACTGTCATTCCCTCAAATTGGCTTCCATGTGTACTTTCATCTACCACACAACCACCATAATGAAGCCGGACCAATCTATCCATCTACAATTTTAAACCCATGCATAAACATTAATTACTTGAAAATAATATGTAATTACCATTGCAATACCAATACTTCAAAAGCTAACAACATGTCTAATTTTTCCAATAAATAAGTACATTACTCAAATACTACACATTATTGATAAAAAAAAAACTCTACTCCTACAAATTACCTACCCTTCACCACACATCAACCCCTTTCAAACCCTCTCAATCACCACAAATCCATCCCACATCCTAGGCCATCACCACACATCCATCTCCCATCAAACCCTAGTGCATCACCAAACATCCATCCCAAATATATTTTGTCAAATGTATCAATAACAACCAAATGGATAAAGATATGCCACTTCCACACTTCATCCCCACCCATATTATCCATCTAATAATCCATCCTTAGCCAACTATTATCAAACCACGTCTACAACCAAAACAATGCAAAATATCCAATAAAACTTTGGGGAACTTAGGGTTTATAGAGGGGTTTACCTTCTCTTCCGATCCCAAACTCAATGTCGCACAAATCACCTTCGATTAGAGAGGTTTTTGGGGGAGATTGGGCGAGGAGAACGCGGTGGCGACCGAACCCTAGGCGGGCGGCTGGGGAAAAAACGGAGGAAGAACTGGCTGGGGTGGCCTCGGCCGGGCTATAAGTAGCCAAGGTCAGCGCCAACTTACTTGGCGCTGAGGTTGGGCACCTCAGCGCCGAAGCGGTTGGCGCTGAGGTAGCTGCCACGTCAGCTAGGGGATCGGCCCGGCCGCCACGGTGGCACAATGTCAGCGCCAGTCCCGTTGGCGCTGACACGGCCAACCTCAGCGCCAATGCGCTTGGCGCTGAGCCGACGGCCTAGTTTTGGTTGAAGTTTTTGGCAGGGGTTAGTTTCGAATTAAGTTTTTGAAAAGGGTCAATTTGTCAAAAAAACGGTCCTCTCTCCGTAGGGAGAAAAACAAATACTGCAGACCTGAGATACACCCTCGAGCTGCACGCAGATTTATTTTAAGATCAGGAATCCTGTGGAACATAACATTGGGTCCACATATGGTCTCTTGGTTTTCTCCAATAACGTGCGTATCCAAGTACGTGTGAAAACCGGTACTCCCTCCATCCCATAATATAAAAGATTTTGAGTTTTTCTTGCATTGTTTGACCACTCGTCTTATTCAAAAAATTTGTGTAAATATAAAAAATAAGAAGTTGTGCTTAAAGTACTTTAAATAATAAAGTAAGTCACACAAAATAAATAATAATTTTAAATTTTTTTAAATAAGACGAGCGATCAAACAATACAATTATGGGACGGAGGGAGTACTTTAGATATGGTATATCGCAACGGAATGGAATCTGGAGTTAATATGATGGGTGGGCCCCGCTGTCGGCTCACCACCCCTCAATGTGACATGATATCCAACAAAATACGCTCCACCTGTGATCTCCACCAGAGAACCATGTACCCCTTCCTAGGTTAGGGGGGGTTCTCGCGGTGAGACATCTAGAGTGAACGATCTGTCCCTTTATTCCTGAGTGTCACTAAGATTTATAGGTATGTCTATAATTAGAAGGAAGAACCGCCATAAAAATATTCCTCGTATATCATCTGTAGCAGAACTGTGAATGGGAGCTAGCAATCCGGACCATATTGAAAAGGTTCCTGAGACACAACATGGAAGAGTCAAATATTAAGCCCGAACGATACTAGGGCCCCTTTGAATCGCAGGATTGAGAAAATGTAGGAATAGGAAAAACGTTGGATTTTGATAGGAACGTAAGTGTAAAACAGAGGATTACAAAACGCAGGAAAAACACAAAAATGACCGTTTGATTGAACCACAGGAAAAACACAGGAATTGGGTGAGAGAGATAGACTCAAAGGAAAGTTAGCAAGAGGTTGAAGCTCTTGCTAAATTTCCTCCAAAATCTATATAGGATTATCCATTCCATAGGAATTTCAAAGGATTGGATATGATTCAATCCTTTGTTTTAAAGGGCTTCATAGGAAATTTTCCTATAGGATTGAAATCCTCTAAAATTCCTATGTTTTTCCTCCAAATCAAAGGGGCCCTGAATCAAAGGATTTATGTAGGATTTTCATAGGATTCAAATCCTATAGGAAATTTTCCTATTTGGCCATTTGATTCAAAGGATTGAAGCTTTCCAAATCACATGAAATTCCTATGGAATGGCACATTGCATGTGGATTTTGGAGGAAATATAGCAAGAGCTCCAACCTCTTGAAAATTTCCTTTGAGTCTATCTCTCTCATCCGATTCCTGTGTTTTTCCTGTGTTTTGCAATCCTCTGTTTTATACTTCAATTCCTATCAGAATCCTGTGTTTTTCCTATCCACCATTTTTTCAACCCTGCGATTCAAAGGGGCCCTAAATATCCTTCAAAGGAAATAATATAATAAAATACCCAAAGCAGACGGTATCCTACTGCAAGGGTGGTCTTAAGAATCCAAATGAGGTTGCTCAGAAGAGATAGATGCATCCCAACTTCTATTGCTCTCGCGTAAAGCCTTTTTTTATGTGACGGAAAAAAGTGACTACAAATTTCCTTTTTGCTTGCTAATCCCTATACTGCCTCGATGATTGCTTACAAGCCTATTTCCGTTCTATCTAATTTTGGATAGATCGACGCTCTATTGGAAGTCGTTTGTTCGTATTGCCTGAGATGTATATCGATCAGCTCTACTATTTTCTTCCTTTTCACTTTAGCTAATATGAATTTACCTGGCACTAGCAACTTTATTGGGGAATTTCTAATCTTAATAGGTGATGCGTTCTAAGAAGGGATGACCTAGCTTCACCCCTCAACTCAGTATAGTCAAGGCATACCTAGCATTGGCATTTCCTGAGCAGCCCTGTGCCATGATCACTATTCTAAGATAGTGTCACAACCTGGTTTACGGGTGGCCAGCTAGTTGGTCTCATGTGGCAACACATGGGACATACTGCTGCCTCCAAGCAGATTCAAGGCTGCCACGTCTTTAACCTAAAACGATTGATCATAACAGACTCTTAGATGTTCAGCCTTTCCTTAGGCCATGTACAAAGATAGAGTCGGATATGAGCTCTACGTTATTTAGAGACTAACATCCTACAACAGTTAGAGATAATATGGTCTCTAATCATTAATGTATCAAAATACTTTTTCTTACTTTTATTTTCTTTCTTTCACCACCATGCAACAAAATTTGCTCCAGTAAATGCTAAGAGTCGACTCTGAGCCGTTGTCATGTATAACAACCATACTCCTTTCTCTTTCCTCCATATCACCAAATTTACTTGCATGGCAATAGAGAGAGACCACTAATAAACACCGTTGTACATACCCTTATAATTGATTCTTAGATGAATTATGGACACGTAGACCTCCCCTCAAGGCCGGCGATGGCCCACAACCGGCCACGCAGTCTCGACGCATTCATTCTGGTTTTAAGCAAAATACTAGTCAAGTGGGATCCCTCGGTCATGACGCTGATAGTAAAATATATTCAAACAAGATTTATGAAATTTTCATTTTTTTTAAAGATCTTAGTAGTTTATTGATCTGTCACTAATAGCGGAGACTGGCTAGATACGGTTGACAAAACCAGTCAACCACAATAGCTGAGCAGGTGCTTCACGTACCCTAGAAAGTATACTCCTTAGACCTTACATTAAAATGTATAAGCTATTTTTTTTATTTGACTGACAATTAATAGCCTTTTAGGAATTGTTTGCGGTTTAAATTTGATGTTATTAGATTCTTATTCCAAATTGCTTGGTTATGATTATGCTTTTGTATCACATAAATAATGTGGCAGTAAATCACAGGGAACATTTTCCTCATGTCTACATCAGCACTTATTGTTAACCTCCCATTAATTACTTGGGAGTAAAATAGGTATTTTCTAAAAAGAAATAGCCTTCGGAGTTGATTAGGGTGTACGTGTGTTTATAGCCATGAGTGTACGTGCATGTCTATGAGCTCCTGCACGTGTACTGTGTTCCAAAAAACAAAAATGCAAGAATAATGAAAAATAAGAAATAATTTTAAGTAAATGAGAAAGCAGAGGGAGCAAAGGAGAAACATGATTAATATACAGGGAATGACAAATAAAGAATTCTCCCTATAAATTAAGCTTAAATGCCTTTAAAAAAACTGTAGGATCGTAACACAAGAACTAAGCCAACCAGAGGGGAAGTGAATAGTTGGTATACCCAAAAACCTAAACTTTTTGCGGAATTAAAAGTTACCCTCAAATTCGACGGATCGCGGTCTGACCGAAAGTGTTGCGCCGGTCTGACCGCCTAAAGATCGTCGGTCTGACCGACGT